CTTGTAATTGCCCTGAACCTCTGCGACAAAGCTATTCTAAGCCGCTTTCTCCTTACTAGCTTAGTGTGATTTACTGTATATAAATATCATACATATACAATATCATTACTGTATCATAAATCTCGAAAAAAAACTACTAATTTCTAAATATTTTGTAGTCATTTTTGTATTACTTTAGTATAAGTACATGTGTTCATTTGGATTCATATGTTGTTTTTTCTGACTTTATGTGAACAAAAAGACATAAATTTGGCCGTTTTCTCATTGGAAAAAAGTACATTTTAAAATATCACTGTCCTGTTCACAGAAGAAAGGTTTGTGGGGAAAAATGGCCAATTTGAGACATAAGCAATTAGGAAATAACAGTTACTACCCATGAACAAAAAGTGTATTACATACTGCAATCAAATTGACATAATAGACAGTCAGAATGTCTCTTGCAAAATGTTTGTGATTTCCCTCCATATTTATGTGCATATGAAGCATATTTGAAAAATAACCAAAAGTTTTCAGTGCACTAGTGTTCACAATATGCAGTGCATTGAAGACATAAACAACTACTGGGGGAAGTAAGAACTTCATGTAAGATCATTCCTGGTTAATTGTGAGTGTATTTTACTTGATGTAGAGATAATGATAGCAACAACATTACTTTACAAGCAACGACCGAAAGCAGCTGTAGCAGAAGCTTGGACCCAAATCTCCTTGAAACTGACTGATTTAACCATCCCTGTAGTAATTCACTCAGTGCTTACTGTAAATGAAATTAAATTTATTATTTGGATTTCATACTTTTGAGTTGAGTTCTTCTGGGCGATGTCTGTCAAGATTATGGTTAGCTTGGCACCATAGACTTTGGCACTGATTTATGTTGGTTTACACGAATGTTCATTTGAATTTCTTGGGTCAGCAGCATTCAAAATTTAACAGGATTTATGAATTAAAAAAACAACAACAAATTGCAAAAAAACAAAGCATTTCTTTACCTCCAAGCTATGTGTGGAAATGAGAATGATACTCACATGTCCATATGTACTTTGAAAGAATTATTGTTCACTGTAATGATTCCTCCTCTCCATATTGTGGCTGTGAAATGATGCCTTCTTTATGCGACTGAAAGAGACGTGGGACAAAATCTGTCCTTGGCCCACGCAAAACTACTTCTCAAACTTTAGCCAAAGTTAATATGAGGCAACAGCAGTCTGAGTAACCAAATCAAATGTGTTGTTGAAATTAATTCTGTGGATTCTGCCAAACTGCTTTCTTGCTAAGCTGCAGTGGAGAGAAAATAACAATTAGAGGGAAATTTGTACTAAAAAGACTGGAACTCTGAAAGATACCCACTTGCTTAACTACGGCCGCATATTAGTATCAGCTGAACACTTTATAACCAGTATGGACATGAGGAATGATTAACTACAGCGACCCATACCTTTTTCAACAGCTACCTTTTCATTTCTGGCACCACCACAAGGGATGCATACAATCTTTAATAATATGGGTTTAAGCACATAACCTCTGTCGATCACACATTCTCTTCATCCAACTTTCACACCAAAAGGAATATCGTCCCTGGTGTGGAGGTAAGCAGGTATTATATGAGTGCTTTGTAGGAATGTCCTTCTGTGTACACTATTTTAAATATTGATTGTCTTTAGTATTCAGTAATTGTTTTTACGTTTCTCTGCTCCACCAGCCGACCAGACATTGCCCTCCTCTGGTTCCTCATCCCTTTCAAAGCTGCGAAACACCTGGTGTGCGACCAGTACAGGTGGTTGACCATCAAGATTGTCACTGTTCTCCTGCTGCTGGCCATCTTGGGTCTTTTCCTATACAACATGCCTGGTTACATGGTGAAGAAAATGTTGGGAGTCTGAGTTAAAACCAGCAGATGTTAACTTTTTCGAATTGTGTGTATAATTAGAATTCTTTTGTGAACAGTTTGTATTTTGCAATTTAAAGCATTATTATACGAAAACTACATCAATAGCAGTACTAATAATACATCTTGAGTGTATCCATCATTGGTTATTAATGTGTCTAATGTGTACAAATCTCAACATGATACTATTGGTGTGATATTTATGCATTTTTTTTGTTTCTTTAAATGTGTTTTTCTTTATTCACATTAAATTCATTTAATTTCCATCATTTTGAGATATTAAAAGTCCATCTGATATAAAAACAAGGTGAGTATTTTAACATAGTCTGCTTGAGTTGGAGTTCGGATTTTCTTGCTTTAACAATGTTTTGTCATGTCCTGTTTATGTCTCTATGTATGATATTTCAAATGTGTGCATAAATTGACCTCTGGACAGTCCCATTTTCTGGTAGTCCTGTCGTCTGTGTATATTTATATAAAAATATCTCCATGTTTTTGTGTTACAAATGAGTATGTATTACGAAACTGAAAGGACAGCCCATGCCTTTTTTATTTTATCACCAGTAATTGTAAGGCTTAACCGCATGACTCGGCCTTTCAAATGGATTTCAGCTCATAGAATCAAGTGGACTTGAGTCAACTTCCCATGCAAAATAACTACAACTCAAACAGCCTCTTAGTTACATCACTTTCAAACGATTGTAATTATTTTGATCTAAAAACACCCAACCAATCCCTTTCTTGTGGTGCTCTTAAAAGTGATGGCAGTCTTTCCTTTAGAAGTCTAAGGTAAATCACTGAAAAGGTCCAAAGCAAATTTTTATATTAAGATTGTCAAATGTCTAACACACTGTTTGTCTCTACTCCACCAGCCGTCCAGATATTGCCCTCCTCTGGTTCCTCATCCCTTTCAAAGCTGCGAAACACCTGGTGTGCGACCAGTACAGGTGGCTGACAATCAAGATTGTCTCTGTTCTCCTGCTGCTGGCCATCTTGGGTCTTTTCCTATACAACATGCCTGGTTACATGGTGAAGAAAATGTTGGGGGCTTGAGATGTCTGCTGAATTGTACAATTTTGCACACAAAGAAACAATGTCACTTGTAAGTTGCCCTTGTGTTCTTGAAAGAGTTTTTTGCCATTTGACAAAAGACAACTTATAAACATTAGTATGGCTACAGTATGCAAAAAGGCAAGCTTATTCTCATATTGACATGTACTCGTTACATTTGCACCACTACATTAAAGTAATGGAAATCCATTACTTTAATGTAGTGGTGCAAATTTAATTATTGTTCTTGTGGTTGTTGTGGTTGCTGGTGTTGCAAGATAAGACTGTCACCTTTGTGCTGATTTATTGTGAACTCAACAGTTTGTCAACAGTGTGCAGTATTTGTCTGACTTTTGAATTTGTGAATAAAGTGACAACTCCAGACGTTTCTAATCTTAACATCATGTGTCTGGTCATCTGTTCACACTGTTAACTGTACACACAGACAAGCAACTGTCATGTTTAAGGGGTTTAAACAAATGAAGTGTCCTTCCAAAGTTATTTATTGAAAATTCTCTGTCTTCTTTCACAAACCAATGATACTTAAATGTTTGGGAAATGTAGGAAATATATTTATTTTGTGCTGTATGGTTTGGTAGTTTGACACTCATTTTGCTGACATAGAATTCTGTTGAAAACAAATTAGGTTGGGAGGAAGATCGGTCTTGATATCTCTGGCATTTTAGCAAACAAACTACAACCTTCCATGATATTGAATTGGTCGCGAAAACTAGCTATAGCCCTCTACTGAAAACTGCTTATCAGCTCATCATGTTAATGTACGTCCAACTCTATGACCCGCTGCATGCTACTACTATGCCAGATTATTAATAACATGATGTAGAGCTTGTTGAAGGTTTTGTTTAATCTCTTGAAATGGAGACTTTTGGAGACGAAAAAAGTTCAGATAATTACCACTCCTTGACATGATATACTTGTGTGGACCACGTAAAGTGTGAGTTTGGAGGATGCGGGCATCGATCCCGCTACCTCTCGCATGCTAAGCGAGCGCTCTACCATTTGAGCTAATCCCCCTATGAAACACTTGAAATAGTACTTTGAGATCAGAATCATAAATCATCGTTAATATAAAACTCTTTATGAGCTTTGTATTATTTCACATATGAATGGCGCTTCCTCGCAGTCTCTGGAACAGTGTAACTTCACTTCATAGCAGCACCCAACTAGTCATGTCTAAAACAGCACATATATGATGATGGGCTGCCATCTGCTGGTCCTCAATGGACCTAACATATTAACGTTACTGTTTAATTTCTCATGGTCATATGCCATTACAACCAGCTCTTCTGAATAAATGCTAACTTACCTTCGTACACATTTAGCTTGCAAAATCTTCAATTCTGCATTTTCATGGACGGCAAAGCTCAATTGGACCATTGACTGGCAGCCTTGTAAAAAAGACTTCACAGTTAAACAGTCCGTTTACACAGAAAGATGAAGTTAAAGTTAATTTACCCTTTCTACATATTCACGGCGACGGTCGAGTAGGCAAATGGCAAGCTGGCTTTTCATTTAAAGGTAATGGCTGTTTTAAATACCTTAATTCTTTAGGTTTTACATCAAACAGTAAGTTGGAACCCCAAAAAGTTGCACTGGAGGATGCGGGCATCGATCCCGCTACCTCTCGCATGCTAAGCGAGCGCTCTACCATTTGAGCTAATCCCCCGTTAGCAAATGTGTGTTCCGCTGGACATAAATGTTACGGTTTAGGTTAAACAACAGTCTCGCCTGGAAGAAGCCGATTTCATCAAAAATCTTGGTTCAATATTTGACTGTATTGGAATTAACTTTAGATGCGACCCTAACCCACCACTTAGCGGTGTTAACATGCCATATGAAACTATCACCTGTACACCATGAGATGATTATGATGGCTCATAATCATCTAAATTTTTTTTCCTCTCTTACCGAAGATACTAATTTGTCATAGGCTTTAGTGTGGACCACATATAGGCTAATCTGTAAAGTTAAACCCTAACCCTATACTTTGTAGGGTTCATGCTTGCAATTATTTCCCATCCATTCTCACGCAAAATAAACTACAACCATTTTTTTCACAACTGTTTATTTATTCAAAACTCAAAAGATGAGTGTTCTGTAGATGTTTACATGGTCAGTGAATGCAAGTTCTAGAGCAGAGGACAGGCAGTTTGCAAAGTAAAAATAGCTGGGAGGGAAGGACAAGGAGACTTATTGGTTTAACTGGATGCTAATGATGACCAGTTGACTGGTCACAGATCTCTTTATACTGACTTTCTTCCAAACTACAACTCATACGTCCGGGCAACCCTTAACAGCAAATGAAAAGTGTAAACACAGTATGATTAGCAGGAAAAACATGATTAAAGTTGTCATGAGAAAATGTGTCTTAATTCAGTATTAATTCAGTGTCAGGCTCCCTTATATTTTAGAGTAAAACATTAGAGCTGCTACAATCTATAACCATGTTGTCAGTCTGCAGGTGGCTTTCTGCCTCTAAATGTTACACTTATAGGCTTCTGCCTGTCGGCCTAAAAGATACAAAGCAATAAACCAGGATCGTGCGACATCAGACAAAATCTCCACACAAAACACATTTACAAAATATCAGTCATTCACAGTCAATGTGTAACATTCTCATGCTCAGATATGTTGCTGATCAATAATGAATAATCGCAGAGCATTGATCATATGACTTGAGTCATTACACCATAGAATTTCCCTCAGCATTTCTACATGCCATGAACCCACCATGACAGAAACTAAAAGCTTGATGCTGACTCAAGCACAAACCATAACTGAAATAACACTTCTTTCTTTATTTCAATTCATGTACAGTAGGGTTTGCATCAATTTTGCTACATAAAGTTAATCTAAATGAAATATAAGTTAAATAAATAAGAAATTGTTATTAAAAAGTCACTTTTGTTATACTTTTAGTAGCTCTGGGAGTGTTCTGATGGCTTGTTGGAGCAGTGCTGTTCTGTACCACAGCACACCAAAGGCCAATAAATAACTCCATAATGAGCCATAAGCCATAAGACATTTTTCTCTCAAAAATCACAATGTCGGTAATATTTACAGACTCAAAATTCACTGTTTGCCGTAACAACCTCCATGTCAGGCTCGGCTCGATTTTCTGCGTTACTCATGCTGAAATAACTGGGATATGTTTTACATTACTGTTATAGTTGCTGTGTAAGTGGAGGCAGGGAGGAGCAGCGAATGATGATGCAGAGTAGTTGTTTACACAGTAGTATGTAGACGGCCAGAGGGCTGATGGGGGAAGGTTATAAACAGATATACATATGAGAAAGAAAGGGGAAAAAAGATAGAGAGCAGGGATAATGGTGAGTATTTATAGAGCGTGCAGAGAGAGAAGAAAACAAATGAGGGCATAAAGAAAATAAAAGGGAAGATGAAGATGTTGAGGGTGGGGGGACACAAAGGGTTCAGTATTCATCTTGGTCCAGGTGAGCTTGTTCATCGAGGTCATCATCCTCTGGAGGCGCAAAGCCTTCCTGGAAACCAGAAGAAAAAAAAGAAGATATTATTCACGTTTAAAAGTAAGTGTTTACATAAAAATGTACCAGCTCACCAAAGAGGTACGTCCTTCATCATAACTTGGTTTCCTCCGTAACTATGATACACACCAACACACATCTTTCGTTATGTTAACAGGGTATCACAATTTCCCAGTTCATCACATGACGCACACTGTCCCAAAAAGCATTATCAACACACACAATCACTGGAAAAGGACACTGGAGTAGTTGTAAAATTATTTTTTTTAGCATCACAAACCCCCTGAAATTACTATTTTTTCTTATTAGAATTTGTTCGATTTTGTCCTGTAACACTTGGAAAGTCTAGAAGAACCATATGATAAAGTTATTTTCACACTCGTGTGCCAACAGGAAGTCAGCGGCTCAGCCTGTAGAAGTCTCGGACGCACATAATCTCACCAGCTTGGCTGAAAGGGGACTCTAGTGCACATGTTCTTTGGGCTCCAAAACAGATGATTGAATGGGGTGCCATCTTTATATTGATTAATTAATGTCTGAAAATGTCTGAACTTGCTACGGCCCTTTGACTTGCCTCTGTGGAGCTGTGACATTTAACCTGCGTCAGTCTTGACTTATGGGAAATGGTCTTTGTTAAAGGTGTCAAAAAAACAGAAATATTGAATAAACAACAATTGTTCTATTTTAAATTACCATCCTTCTCTAAACATATGGAGCCAGCCACACAACATACTGTTGAGTGTGGTTATGTTCCAAAACTGGATTTTTAGTAATCTGCATTGTTACAAATTTCAATGGGATTTTGAATGAGGTTCATTCAACCTCATTGTGAGCTTCGACTCTCTATAGTAATTCACTCAGAGTAAAGAACTTGCTGGTAGAAATGGTGCAGCGCAGCCTGCATTTGTTGTGTATAATGGCTAGACACCTCTGTTGCGTAGAGAATGTTGATTATCCTGCTGAGGACGGGGTTGTTTTCACTCTCATGTTCCTGGCAGATCAGCTCAATGTCCCGTAGTTTGCTGAAGTAGAAGTCTCTCTCCTTCTCTAGTCCGTCGACAGTCAACTTCAACTCCATCAGCTTAGAAAGGAAAGAAAAAATTATGTTTACACTGGTAGTCGCCAAAAAGTTATCTGAACCATGTAGCCAGTAAAAGGGAACCACAAGTGATTTTGGTAGTGATGTCATACTGAGCCCAAAAAATACTTTTTTTTATTAACGCTGATAAAAGTTAGGCCTTTGGCTTTTCCCCCCTTTGAAGGAGAGCAAATAACGTTTGGAGGGCAAACCAAATCCTTTTTTCTATATTTTATTTTTAATCTTAACAGTAGTTTGAATGTAGGTTTAATGCTTTTGCATTTGCCTCATAAAAAGCATTCATAGTAATTAAAAAGGGGGGGAAATTTGGCAAAAAGTATCACACGAGGGCAGCAAATCAAAAGAAATAAATAAAGCTCACAAACTGCTTATGTGGCACAATTCTAATAAATATTGTCTAAGGAAAATAAGTTTGAGTGCCTTTTTTCACAGCAGAAATCCTGACTTGTTTGAAGGAAAGCACATGTGTTGATGACATTAACAATCACTTCCAGTTAACCACGACAGTGTGACAGTGACTCCGCATGCGCAATACCATGACCCTAAAACTGATGCTAATTAATTTCATTGTTTACATATGTGGTTCTCCTATTTCATATTCCATGTTCCTAAGTGTCAAAATGTCTGTGAAAAAGACCAATTAATGCAATAAATCATGTGCTTTCAGAAGGAGTGAATCTATAGAGAATCCAGTGACATGAGAATGAAAAGGAGTAAGATAGACGACATGGTTTGACAGTATGATTCTCCCTCATCTCCATAAAACTCTACCTGTTGATTTAGCTCCAGGATCTCAGCATCACTGCCCCCATTTCTAGACAAAGATGGATTCTTCCTCATAGCCGGAGTGTTGTGTTGGACCCGCTGTGGTGTTGGCATGTTTTTGGGAACTGTTGGAGATGTCCTCTGTGGTCCTGGAGTGGTCAGAGATGATCAGAGATGATTATCATTTGATGTTTTAAATGGATATAGTGCATTTATATTGGCTTTGTAGCAACTGTGGCGATGGATATAGCACATTATAGAGAGCTGATGTTATCAGCTTATAGCATAATGTGGTGCCTTTCGATATGTCATTTTTGTGAAAGGATCTCAAATAGTTTTACAACAAAAAAGATGGATTTCCAGATTTTAAAAAGCCCAATTCCTAATAAAAACTTTTGAACCAAACCAATTATTTTAAAATGTCTGAATGTCACAATTATTTGAGTCAAAATCTTTGAGAAAAAACCCTGTGTCCTGCCAAACCTCTATAAGTGCTCAGCAGAGGTGTTTTAAAAAAACTTAAAGTCAAAACATGCCAACACACATTATGACAGTTTTGAAAATAAATACAGTCTTTCTGTCCATTTACGACCACGCTGCTTACCAGTGACACAGTCACAAAGCGGGCTTATGACACACTACAAGTCAAGTTTGATTGTTCGCCATGTTTTTCAAGCAGGAAGCTTTCACAGAGACATAGCAAGGCTGCTCAGGCTGGCGTTACTCTTGTTAGTAAAATGAGGCAAACGTTCTTCCTCATCAGTCCAGCTTTCAGAGAGAGGTGGAGCTGCAAAAAGTGTTGCATAAGCTGCTTGATGCAGGGCACCGGAGAAAATAGTTGCATTTGATATTTCTGTAGGTCTTCTGGCATCGCTGATCATGATCAATTTGAATTTGGAAAGCAAATTATAATTGGGACTTGTATGTTCCGGATGTTCAGCCCCACCAATGCTGCATCGCACTAGTCACTGTAGTGACTCCTACAATCCCACCATTGACTCAGTCATACCTACACAGTGTCATATTTGCTTGTGAATGCTGGGCAGTGAGATGGAGCTAAGAAGACAGCAGTCATTCTGTGAATCGTGCTGCTCACACCACTTGCTTGCGGGGAGTGCGTTTGAGCCATCCAAAGCTCAGGAAGACCGTGCAGCAAAGGCAAAACTGTTTGGTTTACCTGGGTTTCTCTTTGGTTTGTGGATAAAGTGATCACCTGGGTTGGGGGCGGGGGCCACGTCCTGCCCCTGTCTGGCTAGTAAAGGATCATACTCCTTCCCGTCATAGTTGGCATCGAAGAACTTCTTGAACCACTGCACGAATTCAAAGTTGTCCTGGAACTTCCCTTTTACAAGCTTTTCAACGGGAATAATCTGGAGGATGGAAACAGGAAGTGCTTGAATAGCTCCATCTGATATAGCATGAAGAGTTACAAAAGTACGAAAAATTAAACAATAAATAATAACAATATATTTTTAAATAAAGTGGAATACATGATAATATGATAAAAGTATTCTGACTTTGTCAACGCTCATCCTTTTAAAGGCTGCCTGCAGAACTTTGAAGTTGTGTATAGATTCATGCTCCAGCTTGGCTTGAAATTTGACCTTCTTCAGAAGGATACAACCTGGAAACAACATGTCCATGAACTGGCAGTATGCCGCTCCTGGAAGAGACACAAAGACGCACACAATCATATGTTTTTTTGCTGTCTTTTTCTGATTTATTTGTTGAACAGCAATGAATTGAAATGTTAGCCTTACCTGAACAGAGCTGTTCAATCTTAGTGTAGGTGAGATGCAAGGAATCGTTGACCCATGCCAGCATGTCATGTCGGCTGAGGTTGTCAATGGACACAGACGTGGCGTACACGTTCACTGCCATCCCCTACAGGAAAATAAGCAACGTAAGAAGAGAGAAGTAGTCATTCAGGTGGAAGTTTTTGTCGTCTCTTAGGTGAATGGAAGTTAATTAATTAAGTCATGGGCCAAAAACTTTATCTGTCTTTGATTGGCCACAGTATGTGTGATATACACAGTTCTCTATCATTTAATCATGTGGGGCCTCCTCTATCTTTCAAGATATCCCACTCTCTGCTAATAATGTTACAAAATACTGAATAATGCCTCTTCCTAAAGCGCAAGTAGATGTCAGGCCGAAACACAGACATGTTATTTGTCTTCAAGCAAAACACCGAAAAACAGCAGATCCTCACACAGAGGAGCTGGGGACAAGGGAATGTTTGGTATTTTTACTTCAACAAATAACTTAAACAGTGAATTGATTATCATATTAGTCACTGATTCATTTTTGTTACTGACTTACAAATTGTTTTAGCTCCAGACTTATGGTACTACTTTTTGGATTAATTTCAATTAACCCATTTCTTGATGTAATTGTTCTGGAGCTCTGATGTAGGATGTACTACTGTAGTATTACACCCTAATATAATCCTTATAAACTGCTGCAAATATCTGTCCATATAAATGCAAATTTTACTGCAACGCCAGGTATCCGAGGGGAGGGTCTCTCTTTACATTTACTTTCTTGAGGGTTCTACCATTTTTTCCCTTATGCCCTGAGGTTTTGAGGAGTGGATTTCCTTGTTGTCTCAGATTAGAGATCTTGGGCTGGGTCAGAAACGGTTGCAGTTGTGGTCCTTTACAACACTTGATTTTTTACTGTGAACACAGTGGCTGAGAAGCATCTTTACTTTCAGCTTTAATCTACAGATGTGTTGTGAGCATAATCCTCCCTAGATTAAACAGAAATATCCTGATGTTTGTGAGCAGTTTTACACATCTGGCAGCCCCAGCCTCCTCTGTGCTCACTTTGCGTGCCTGCAAAAAAACCCTTCCAGTGGTGTCATGTCAGAATAGGTCTGTGACACCTTGACATCCCCTGCAGTAAAAATACACATTAACAGAAACGAGACATAAACTGTGAAATGACACACGTCATTGTCTGCAGGAGACAGCACGAGAGAAATGACTGTATGTCACCAAATGTCTCACTAATAACAACTGAATCACGCTTATTAGGCCAACCTGCAGTGTAAGCAGTGATTTCTGGTGGCAACACTAATAATACTGAAGTGAATGCACATTCAGCAGCGTGCATTCACCAGCAGTCTCCAATGGGGACTGGCTAGCCTACAATTACATGATTATAATTTACAACCATATAGCCAACAATAAAACCGTAACCCATGCAGGCTCTACTACATTAGCGGCCATAGACACTGCAGTGGGTGTATCTTCTAATAAATATGGGTTATTGTATCGAGAACGGCGCACGAAAGGGAAGTCAATCTATTCTCCTAAAATGTGCCGGGCCTGTGAGAAAGCTCCGGTCATGACTGCAGCAAAACCCCGAAGTCTAGCAAGAACAAATGGGCGGGGGGCGGGCTGACATTTCAAGCCCGAGCTGAGAACAATAAATGTGCCCGTTTGCTGGATGCCTTTTGGTTAAAAAACCCGCAACGCTGGCCCTGCTCTGCTAGCGGCCCCCTCTGCAGGCCTCCCACAACACCTCAGGGCTGTCAGTGCACGGCGAAATATCCTCACTGCATGGGAATAAAACCCAGCTCCCCCGCAAACACGTTTGCACGCACAAAAGGAGAAACACACAAGACATAGTGGGTTGTTCGCGCGTTTATACTCACTGTATTCAGGAGTGTCTGTGTTGTTATTACGTTGGCAGGATTCCTTGTGTCAGTGCCCGTCTCTGTCGCCGCTGTGAGACCCTACGCGGTGCAGTGCTTGGTAACGGGCCGCCCTGTCTGGGGCTGCAACAAACCAGTGCCAACTGCGCATGCGCCAGACTCCATGCTGTTAAAGGTTCATTATAAATAGGACTTTAGCCTGTTCCAGCTAAGAGACACATGATGTGTCTGGGTGGATTTTAGGCCTGCTAGTTACAGATTTTGATGGGGTCAGGCTACACAAATATTACTAATATTATTGTTTTATCTGCTGCTGGATAAGAAATGTCACGGGAGAAGAATTATAAATTATATATTGAGGTAAAAGTGCTAAAACAACAGTATTATTAACACTATTATTTTCATTATTGATTCATCTGGTGATTATTTTCAAGTTGTTATTATTTTCGAGTTAATTGTTTAGTCTAAAATGTCACAAAATAGTGAAAATCCATCCATTCGTCCATCACAATTTCTGATTAAAGTCCAGAACCCAAAGAAATTTGGTTTACGTTGATATAAAACAGAGAAGAGAATGGGGGGAGTTTTTGCTTGAACAATTACTTAAACTAATAATCGATTATCAAAATATTTCTGCTGATTGACTAATCAATTCATCATTTGAGCTTTAACAACAATGTAAAAAGATTCTGTTGCATTAAAAGTCCTGCAAACAAAAACCTTTAATAGTGAAAGTACAGAAGTATAATTAGCAAAATATACATGTAGTATTGAAAGTAAAATTGTTCATTCTGCAAGGAAATGTATATTATTGTATTATATAGTTATGCAGTTTCTATGCATTTGTAGAGATTTGCCTTAATGGTGAAATATCAAGGAGATTTACATGTGGCCCTTAAACAGTTATTGACATAAAATGTTTACACCTGAGGAAATCAGAAAAGGAAAATCAGTTATTAGTGACACATCTAACAACTTATCATCTAAAATGCGTCAAAGGACTGACACTTTGGTGCTTTTTTGTTAGCCACAAAGGTTGGAAACCACGAGGTTAAAAGTAACTAACTATAGCTGTCAAATAAGTACAATTGAGTAAAAAGTACAACATTTCAGTACAATTGCAGTACTTAGGTAAATGCACTTAGTTCTTTTCCAGCACGGGACAACAATCAGACACAGGCTTCATCTGGAGATTTCATTGTGGTTTATTTGCACTCAAATCATGTGATAAAGAGCTGCAAGACAAAACAAGAGATAAAAGGAATTCAATGTGACGACACATTGTTCAGCACCAGTGTACATTTGGGAGAGGGAAGATACAACAAGATGGAGCTTCTAAAGCTCAAGAGTGAAATCCAAAAAAACAAACAATGATGTACGACTTTTACTTTACCACGATGATCTCCTGAACATAAGTGGGTCTAAAGGATCAAAATCTTGTGTGCATCCCTGCTTACACTGCAGCGTTGACAAAAATACAACAAAATCAATTACTAAGACAATTATTCCCAAGAAGAAACAAAATAAACAAAATACAGCAGTAGTATCAGTGCTTTATCTGTAGTTGCTAAACAATCATGCCTTCCAGTTATGATGCTAGCTTTCAGTGACATACAGTATGAAGGCGTTTGATCCCCTCCAAAAATTGCATTAATTGACTAACAAGTCTGCTGTTGAACTTCAACTCTGTGAATGCTAAAAGAGGATCACTTCACCTTCTCTACGTGCTTCACAGTGATGTGTTTCATTGGAAGTGTCAGTCAGAGGAACATTTTAAACCCTGCATCGATGCAGTAAAAAGTGCCCACTCTAAAAGAAATGACAGCGATCAACATGTCATGATCTGTACTGGCAGTATAGGACGATGCTTTTGTGGGTGTCAATGTTCTCAGGTGAGAAAAAGGCAGTTTGGGTGAGAATTTTTGCTCTCTGTGGTAAATGGATACGTTCACAAAGAATGCTGTGTAACATGAGTAATATTAGTGCTTATTACAGTAGTTCTAACTATGCTACCATGCACAGTACACACAGCATAGGTTCATTCACATTTGGTGGGGGTGGAACAGAAATCTATTCTGTTATAAGGCTGTAAACATGATCCGAAATGCTAACCTGATAATGATGAACTACTGAACAAAGACCTCATTCTTATTGGAAATAATTCTAAAACAGTAGCATCAGTGGAAAATAGCACAAATAACGCAATATAAAAAAATAAATAAACAAACACATTTAAAAGGTTAGCTTGCATTATATTTTTCATCAGTTGGTCAATTGCAACTACATTTTTCCTAAATGACATATTAATGTTATGCCAACACCTTTGTAATAATTTAATTGATTACATTTCATTCAACATGGCTCGCAGTAAAAAGACATTTGTGATATTTGTGACATTAAATCAACGTAAAAAGGCATCTAAATAGTACATGATACAAGTGCAAAATTGTATTTTACAGTGAGGTAACACAATCGCATCATAAAAACCATAACTTACCTTCATATTACTAAAACTATTAGTAAGATATTTCCCCTATCTGATCCAGCCAAAGCAAATTATTGGAAACTCTTGTTTTTATTGTATTTGGTTAACATTTGACTGAAATTTGGTAGCTATTACCACTTAATAGTTTTCTTTGATCCATATTCCAATATTATTACGGCAATGTTTTACAGTTTAACATTTTACAGTCCTATGTACCTGTGCTGAGTTCAAAATAAAAACATCACTCCATTACCCCACACATATTCTAAGACCCAGGGAGAAAAACAAGTCATCTTGCTTGGTCATCTTGCTATGTTTCCCTCGGGTATCATTCTTCCGCTTCATATAGTGGCCGTCTGACTAGTTACCAGATGCCGCTGGATCTCCCTCCAGGAGGAGCAAGGATCCTCGCTGAGGATCTCTTTGGAATGTTGTCATCGATCTGGGCACCTGGGAGCAGCAGAGAACGAGAACATGTGCACAGGTTCAGCAGTGAAATACAAGGAACCTCATATTTCCTAGCAGTATGTACAGCTCAATCATTTTTTCTTGTGGTATTGTTACAGGATGTCTGAACAGCTTATGTTAAGTTCCAGGTGGATTTATACAGTACACAAAAGATCAAAGCAATTCTTCTCCTTCCATTTAAAATGCTTCTGAAAACATTTATGGTTTCTTGCAAGTATTGTGAAGTATATATTTATGGCAAAGAATCTGTTGCCAACAGAGAAAACT